TCAATAGTAACATTTAAACTGGCGCTTTTCTATCTGCATCCACCTGGGTAGCATGTATCTACGATTCGCTCAAACTTGAATGAAAATTGCTTATCTTGTCTGTTGCGTTGTTAAACCGTGCAACAACCTCCTACTTTCTAAGAATAATTGTTCTTTTACGAGTATCTTATAACCATCCACACGTAAGAAAAGGTTAACTTTACGGGTTAAGTCGAATCTTTGATACCCCGCAATTGCAACCAATATATCAGCATACACTAGAACCTTAAAACATTACATTCACTATAAACATATGTAAACCATTCTTAGACTGACTTTTAATTGTACCCGATTCCAGATTATTATTTATTGCGGACGCGTTTTCGACAATTATTAAATGAAACTCGTAAATGTGTATAACAAAACGAATGTTGCTATGAAGTGTATATTATAGTTAATTGCCCACTGTAGGTATAGTTGTGAGCGGACTACGGTCTTTCTTTTTTCAATCCTATAAATTGTTTGCAGACTGAAGCTTCCACCAACAAAAATCGTGAAAAACAAAATGCAAAATGGTCCCATGACGAATCTCGTTCGCCTTTTATTTGCAAAAATATTTTATAAAAACTCAACTACCAATTACCGTAATTTTTTCGGTCGAAATATCGTCCCAGGAAATTTACTCTTCAGGACGAAAGGCTCCATCAAGAACAGTTGAGGTTAAACCTGCTTTTATATTAGAACCACAAACCAGAATCTAGACCTAAGTCAACGCATGTATAGAAATTTATGCATATGCGTCCATCTAACATTCAGTTTATTTTCCAAAGGTATTTACGATTCCCCAAGAATGTCAGTAAGATGTTACAAGCTCCTTATCAAAATAGTAAACTTTACGAACAATGACCCATTGTAACCTTCACTTGCTTAATTTTTGTTTTTTTTTTCTTTTCTTATGCTTTAAGCATCAAGGCCGGCTGTTACCATCATATTGCACGTTCTCCCCTTCAGTGAAGTCCAAGTGAATTCTTTGTTGTGTTGACAAAAAAAAAAAAAATTGGTTGGTTGTCATCCTTAGGTTTTATAACATCTGATGCTCTTAAAAAGAACATAAAATTGTTTACAAAACTTTTCTTTGTATACGGAAAGCTATTCAAAAAACTACGCTTTCTTGAAAAATAATCTGAATATGTTCACGGACGCCAAAAATTTCAGTGAGCTGCAAAAATAGACATGAATAGACATAAATAAAAGGTGGGTCTATCTTAAGCACCTCTGCGTGTTACACACGACCGCACTAACTTAATATACCCTGTACCATAAGTGGTGTAGGGTATAATTAAATGAATAACAATTTGTTTGCTACTGCATCATTTCGTCACGTCCATGAACGTGTTAAGCCTACTGTATATAGATTCAGACTGTTTAATAGCTTTCTGAAAAACTTACGTTGATGCGTCTGAGTTTACGCAAGGAATTGTGAACGTGTATGCAGGTAGTTCAATATTTCATAGTTCTCATCTCACGTTCACCTCTTGCACATATCACTTGATAAGGATCTCACATTTAATGTTAACCATTTCATTGAATTCCATTAAAAGGATCAATATCCAGCCAAGCCATGTGAAAGCTTTTGGTCGTAGATTTTTTAAATGATGAAAGCCTGGCAAGCAAAAGCTCAAATGGTTTTGCAAAATCGGTTGTATCCACGCAACTGCGATTTTTTGTTTGAATCCTACAAAAACTACGATTTTTTATCAACGATTTTTGAGTAATCAATCCTTGATTTCCTTCAGTTGGTCTTCATTAGTGGACGGGGAAGAACGGCCGCAAATTTCAATGCCTTTCCAATCAATCATTTATATCAATCAAAAGCAGTCGCTCTGAACAGTGAAGTATTCGCAATATTGATGCCTATGCAAGCGCTTGGTTATGTTTTCTATTGCAAACGCCGTTTCATTCATTGGTAGCTTCCTTAGTGCTAAGGTGGTTGTCATACAGATGCGTCAACAATACAGTCTTTAAGTAACCCTTTCGGAAATAGGCCGCAATGAAGCGATAAAAAAAATAAACATGCAGAACTTAAAGGCCCAGCTATCTGTGCCCAAAAAAGAGCTTGTACGCTTCTTTGTAACAGTCATTAAAACACTTTTTTGAAACGAAATTTGAATCTTTACATAAAGACTAAGAGTAGGAGTAGTTCTACTTTTATCGAAAATATTGTCGCGAAATTTGATGTGGATGTCCGTCAGTGTAGTGCCAATTTAAATCCAAGAAGATATATAATAATAATAACTCGCTGGGATAAGTCCGCACGATTTAAATGAAAATTTTATTGTTTTAATATTTTTTGAACATACATATGTAAGCTTTGTGCAGGCTCCGATGTTGGAGATGGTAGCATGAAATTCATGTTCAATCCATGTACTGTCGCATTTTATTTAAATTATTAACATTTACTTTCGAGCCCCGATACAAAAAAAATTATGTATACATGATGTTATCACTTCATTCCATTTCCCTAACATCGGCGAAGTTCATTGACGAGAAGAGTTAGTAAATCTTTCCAATCTATTCAGTTTAAGTTTAAATTAATTGAAGCGGTCCAGTAGCAAAATACTAACAGCTTCCCATTCTTCTTAAACCATTTCTACAAAATATTATAGGAGGCTAAGCTTGAACTTAACATTCATCTTCAATAAAATCTTTAACCCAAATCCATCTGAACACAGAAGGACATGCTTAAAATAATAATAAAAGAGCACAAGATCTAGTATCTCTCCTACCGTGTTCAAAAAATAAGAGGAATATGTTCCCCTAAATACATGCGTTTTATTCCTATGCTATTAACTATAGTTTTGTAAACTAACAATATAAATTTCAAATAATTTTAATGTTAATGCATTTAGATTAACGGTCAACCCAAAAAAAAAAAAAAAAGGATCTAGAGAGTTATATTCGGCCCTGCACATGCTTTTACTGTACCCAATACCACTTGTGGCACATTAGCTTACAGCGGTCGTATATTTAAATGCAGAAAATTTAAGGCAGACCCACCTTTTATTATACCGATCTATTCAGAATCATAATCTCAATTCATCTAAGTCTGTCAGTCCCCGTAAGTTTGTGTACAAACTGCATGTCGCAAATTTTGAGATATTTTGATGAAATTTAGTACAGTGACGTGTTTTGACCAAGGACGAACGCTATTGAAAATGACTCGGTTCGATCCACATTTTCAACGACTTCCCATACAACGACGAATTCTGAAAGATCGCTATATGTGCAAATAGTGCAATTTTCAAAATTTTTTGGCAAAAGTGGCTAAGTAGTAATATTTCGGCATTGGAATTAAAACTTTGGACCAGCTGGGGCAATTTTTGAACCGAAGTTCATACGACAAAAATTATATCATAATACCAATTTACCATAAAAAAATTAACTGTATGAAATTTAGACCATTTCGGACTATTTTTTGGATCGTTATATGTAGATTTTCACGAGAATTGATTCTTTGTAGACCAGAAAAGTCTCAGTTTTAATATGTGTGTGGAATGAAAATTGATCCTTAATAATAATTTCATATAAAAATAAAAATTGTGTTGGGCAATTTGGTGTAGAGTATTGAATCGTCGTCTTTGCCCGACTATAATGTTCTCACTTGTTTATGGTTATAAAAAAGTGAATGGGATAAAATTTATCTATCACCTTTTAGTTGACTAAAATGTATTCTTAACAAAAAATTAATCCACCACGTCGTTAGACGTAAAACGAAATCCACACCAATCAAAACAGTGGAAAAAAAGCATATTTAATCGTTTATAGCTTTGTGTAGGCAAGTCGGATTATTTTCAAATTTTTGCACATAAGTAGTAGAGTCTTCTGTGTGAAATATTTCAGCCTTTTATGTTTCATAATTTGTGAAAAAAGACAAATTATTGCTTAGAGCAACATTGTCGCGTTCAGTTTACGCTTTACTGTGCGCATATGCTGTAATCGCTTTGGCCCATTTTCTATACCAATCCGCGTACAGAAACTGCCTAATTGAAAGTCGATATCGTCATTTTTGCGACCAGACGAGTATCAACAGCACACACCACATATATACACACGGACGGACAGAGGGACAGACATGGCTTAATCGATTTAGAGTTTCAAGCTTATCAGAACCATATGCACTTTATAAGGTCTATGAATCTTCTTATTCATTTTGGATGTTGCAAAATGGGGGTACACCGCCATCTTTCGGTGATGAGTATAAAAAACAATTTACACTGATAATCGAAGCACGCCCGTTTTTAAAATAAAAATCTTTATTTTTTTCATTCACTGTCAAATCTTTTAGACCTGGTTTTTAATTAGCACACTTCTTATGCGCTACTGCCAAAAGGTTGGCGTCGGATATTTAAATATATTCAGCCCAAGTCGTATCTTTTTTTTCAACAACATATGATTGAGCAGACGAACGAACGGGCGAAGGGAAGCGAATTTGCAGCCAATGCTTTCCATATATCCATGCATATTTTAATCAGATTTCTAAGCTACATTGTAATCGGGCTGAGAAAGTTGCAAAAATTCACGCATACTCGAGAGATATAAAAGTACAGCGAAAAATAATATAAAATTTTCCTACTTTATAAACATATTCTGTGTACGTTTTTAAAATTGTCACGTAATAAAACTTGCATTAGCTGTTACAAGAAAGGTTGTTAATGACGTTTATACGTTCGCATCCCCATTCACCTAAATATTTCGGGAGCACAAGCAAATGTTAGCGTTTAGTGGTTTCAAAAGTATTAAGACTTAAGGGAAGGCGAGATTCGTTCGTTTCATTCGCTACATTCGTTCATTCATCAATTCATACTTATACAAATTGTCATTTGGGATTGACTAATGCAATCTCCATTATTGGACTCAATGAATTTGCACACTACGTAATACTCATTTTGTACATCAGTTGTTCATATATGTTCATATATTTTCGTGTGTATTTTATGTATATTATCCCTTCTATTTTTCAGGCTGTGCAAGGTAAACTATTCGGTTCTAAGGAAATTGTTGCATTATCTTGTGCCTGGTGTCATGAAGTTTATCATAACAAGGAGTCATGTTTTAATCAATCGAAAATTGGCGAAATCTGTACATTGGGTAAGTGCTCCGTCCCTATTCTATTCAACTTATATTTGTTGCCTTTGTTGTACCTTCAGCATATATGCGTAATACAATAATATTGAAAAGCTTCAATGCAATTATTTTGCAACAAATGCCATCATTTCATGTTGCCACAATATTGCTTATTTTCCGGTTTATAGTTATGCGCAAAAGGCACTCCTATTAGAGTTTAAATCTCTATCCATTACTTATAACAATAAAATCTCTACTATTTTTCTCTTACTTCTCCCGCGTGTCTCGTTTCTCCCCTTTTACCTATACCATTAAAGCATTTAGTTCACCACTTAAATGGGAAATAAACTTATACTCTATTATTATTATTATTATTCTTTATCGAATATCGTTCGTCTATCTTTCCATTTCATACATGCATGCTATATTAAACGAGCTTCTATGGAAGTTCACATTCATAGCTTTTTAAACACAAGCAGTGACTACTACTATGCAATCTAGTCATGTCCTCTCCTAAATAATATAGAAATATCTGTATTAAATGCGGTAATAAATTTTCTGCGGGTATGCATTGATTTTTTTGTGTGTTTGAAAATAGAATACAAAATATAAAAACAAAAAAAAATTGTTCAATTGTTGAAAATTTTGAATAGAAATTAATTTCGATTATTTTTAATATGAACTATTCTTACGATTGCCTATCATCTGGGGGCATATGAGTCGCTGTGTGCAAGTTTTGGTCACACTCGCTGTCGAATAATTGAAATTTACAATGTTCTTACAGCCGTCCCTAAAGGTTTGGAGCATGTCAAAACACGCATGTTTGCAACACGCGAAAAGAAGCTTCAGGTAACCCCATCTGTCTGGCCGTCTGCTTGATGTCGTTTCAAAATCGGAATGAACATTAAAGCTCTTGCGGGTAGGTTGGTTTCCCTATTATTACTAAAAAATTTAACAGGCAAAATTACAAAAGTTTCCCCGTTTTTCTGTGAGCGATTCTATCATATTATAGTAAAAATTGGCCACGTCCGCCCAACTTTAGAAAGAATTGAAATTTCATTTTTTTTGTCAAAACCTTTATACCGTTCAGAAGGAACCGTCAGAAACTCCATAAAATATGTATATTCTTGACTTTCTAATTCACCTAAGCATGTCCACCTATTTATTTGTCTATCTGTCCATGTATGCAATATTTGCGGTAAGCACTTCCCTTCATTAAAATATTGCGCGCACTCAAATGTTGAAAAAAATCCAAATTAGTCAAGGGACATGCCCATTTAAAATACGAGAAACTCTTCTGTTTTCGGAGTTTTTTTCTCAGCACTCATAAAATTACAATAGACCCACGATGAAAATTTCCACGTATATTCTAAAAAATGGATGAAATCAGCAAAACCCGCCCGCTAATATAAAAAAATGAAATTTTAGTTTTTCCATCGTCTTCTGATCTTTTTTTTTTTTTTGGGATAACGAAAATTTGTAAAAGCCGAGTATAATTTTCTAGCTCGTTTCTACACTATTCATAACCGCCGAAAGTAAACATCAGCGTAAAATTCTGAGATAATACCCCCATGTTCTGTAGAAAGACCCTTTTAGTAAATGAAATTTACATAGAGAAGACTCAAAACTAAACCATATATTTTTAACTCGATTTCATAAAGTTTTTCGAACAATGTTTGCGATATATGCATAATAGCCCGCTCATAACAGACTGGCAAAATAATTCCGAAAAAGCGGAAATTACAACACATGGCGCACTTTGACAATTTTTTCGTATGGAACAGATTCTTTTGCATAAAGCACTCAAAAATTGAACGTGACCTAACCAACATTATACCGCATAATTCACAAAATGATTATGCTGAAACTCTTTGCTAAATAATTCAATTCATAGAGAGATATGTACAAAAAACGGTGAAGCAATTATTAGGGAAATCGTACCTGTCAAAATTTGTATACCCTACACCACTTGTGGTAGAGGGTAACAGGCAGAAAGATTTAAGATAGACCTATCTTTTATTACACCGATCGATTCAGAATCATAATCTCAATTGATCTAATCCTGTCTGTCCGTCTGATGTCTGACGTCTGTCCTCGTAAATTTGTGTTCAAGCTACAAGTCGCAAGTTTTGAGATAGTTCGATGAAATTTAGTAAAGTGACGTTTTTTGATCCCAAGACAAATGCTATTGAAAAGGGCTGGGATCGATCTAATTTTTCGAACACTCCTTATATAAAGCCGTATTCTCAAATATCTCTGTATGGACAAAAATTGCAATTTTCAAAATTTTTCTGCAAAAGTGGTTAAGTAGTAGTATATGAGTATTCTACATTCGTACGAAAACTTTGGACCGGCTAGGGCAATTTTTGAACACACACACACCAACGAAAACTGAAGTTTACACGGCAAACAGGTATAACTTCCAATGCTTCATGAAGAAAATAATACCACAATAGTAATTTAACATAAAAATAATTAAATGTACCAGATTAAAATCTTGTCGTCCTATTTTTTTTTTGATTCTACCCTAATAAAGATTTTCACGAAAATTGACCCTTTGTAGAGCAGACAAGTCTAAGTTTTAAAATACGGTGATGAAAATTGATCCATAATATCTATAATAATTTCATATAAAAATGAACTCTACAAAATTTGGACCATTTGCGCCTATTTTTGGGTCCTGCCCTATGTAAGGATTAATACGCATATGACAAATATGCCTTCATATAAAAGCAAGATATAATTTTTGTATTCTATAAAAAAAATAAGAATTGTGTTGAACAATGTTGGATAGAGTATTCAATGGTCGGCCTTGCCCGACTATAATGTTCTTACTTGTTTATAACACAGTTTGTTTATTTTAACTTTTCGCCAATAATATGGTGGATAGTAACAACTTTCAACTTTATTCTAGTTTTTCTCATCATTTTATTATTCTTTTATTATCATTTAATTATCAATTGCCGTAGCAGCGGCGTGAAGCAAGTGTAAAGATAACCCAACTTTTAGCAAAGAGAAAAATGTAGGCTGTGTACAGTGGGCTAACTTCGCGTCAATAAGTTTTCATTTGGCAATTTTCAGTGATTTTTCTTTGAATTGCCGGATATAATCACCCACAATTGTCGTACCATTTAGAGTCTGCTCCATCCAACTGAATGCATAGCATAATAATCTGGTGTTCCAAGAGAGTTCTTCTGAAAGGCGACGGACTATAACCATAATCTATCCGCGTTTTTATTATGATACTGTGTTCAAAATGTGAGGGAAATATATATCTTAAAAATCCGTGTGTTTTGAGTATCAATTCATTTTTTATACTTTTTTATTGAATTGGAACAACAATCTTTGGTATTTGACAAAAGTTTCAAATCATTCGGTTGATTAATTTATAAATTAGAGCGCTGTTTGGAATAATCCTTCAAAACAGACAGCGAACCCGCTTTAACGACATTTATCGTGTCAAGGCACAAGACATCGCTTCGTTAACGACAGCTTTTATACGAGTTTAACAAGGAAAAGATTTCTAGAGGACGCGTGTTTAAAATAAAGATTTCTTCTGTTCAATCTTTGAACATAGTACCAAAGTAATGGTTTAACGATTTTTTTTCTTCGGTCTTTCGGTACAAATTCGATTCTTTTTGCAGTTCGCGCGACTTGAAGTAAAATTTCTTCTACCCTTCATATGATTAAGAGCAGCAACGCTTTTACGCCTCCATATTTAAAAGCTTTAAGAATAGAAAATATTTTTCATATACCGGAGTTTCAAATCAAGGATTTATATAATATGGGAAATGGCCGTAACAATGATCCGATGCTATACATTTTCAATAACATTTCATAATTTCCCCGATTCATAATCAATCGCGATTATCATTCTGAAATACTTTGTAAATTGAAAGAGGGGTTTATCTCAAGTTCTTCTAAGCGCATCATATTTTCCCGACCACTAGTAGTGCAGAGAATATTTTCGCTTTCAGATAAATATACAGAAAGCGTTCATGTTTTTCTTAATTATACGATTTAAAACGGCCCGGCCCGACCGATACAAGAGATCTCTGGACGGCAATGAGAAAAGTAAAAATTCTAAATTTTGTTTCACTCTTCTTACTAATGAATGTAGTATATATGCTGTACTAATATTAAACGTACCCACACGTAGTCAATTATTTGCAAAGAATCGCTTTTGCCTTTAGTTCTATACCGATCGTTCTGTTCAAAATTTCTTTTTCCAAATTTTTTTCTTGCAACCCTGTAGTAAAATTTCGGCGCCTAAAGTTTCCAAGGGTCACATTCGTTATTGCATACTTTTTCATTTTCATGTAGGGCTTAATGCAATGCAGTAACAATGAAGAAAATATGCGGTCTTTCCAGAAGTGTATTGAAGGTCGATAAGTGTCAATGTTAGTTTAGACCTTGGCTCGCTGTCAGTAATTATGATTTCTCTGACACGCCTTAAAGTGAACGACTAGTTGAATTTGAAAATGACACCCTAAAATCTCTGATGGAAGCTGATCCAAAACTTAACGCCTATACACAAGCACCCAACTAAACAATTCGACTATACAGAACAGCCTATACACCTAAACGAAATTAGCGAATTGACACATAAGCAAGGAATATGGATGCCGCATTAATTGTCTGAGACAAGCACACGAATATTCGTTGATCAATTTGAACCTCATGGCTCTCCAAATTTCGCAGAGGCCGATTTCTTAGCAAAATCGGTATCAGAGATGAAAAATGGATTCTTCTTTTTTTATGATACCATAAAATGTTCGGAGCAATGCCTTTCTGTAAATCAACGCGCAATGTCAATCCGTAAACTTAACTTATCAAGGAGTCAATAAACCTGGTTTTCTATAAGGTTGTGATTGAAACTTTGCCACAAAGAAAGCAAAACCAAATTGGCCTTGATAATGATGGGTAACTTGAATTTACGAAAAATTTTCTTAAAACACCGATCCTCCTATTATACGTACTACATAATAATATATCTTTTTTTAAAAGCTTAACGCCCAGGATTGTTCGAATTAATGCATAGCCCTTCGTGCGATATAACTAATCGCCAGATTTAGCGTTACGGTTGGTATCTTCTTCTATATGATTACAACGTGATTCGCACAGCTGTATTAAGAAATATATGTAGGCTAAGTTTCAGTATTTGTGTTTACCTTATCCAACTATATGACTTTGTTACACGAATGAGAAGAAGGATAGCCAAACAGAAAGGGTGTGGCTAAGTATCGAATCGAAACACCTTGTGGTGTATCTGAGGATGGGCACAAGAGGCGGGACGGGGCAACTGCTTCGATATTAAACTGTTAGGTTTTCAATCCTTTTTTATAACGATTAAAAGAAAGTTTGTTTATATTTTATAAAAAGAAAAAAAAAAAAGCAGATTACGAATATGTTAAGAATTAATCACTATTGTGCACATTTTTGAACAGGTAAATACACAACAGCGTTACTCGCAAAACTCAATTATAAAATTAATAATCGAGGCAATGCACTCTCTTTCCTTATGTAGATAAAAATTTCATATTAAAATTTCTATGGTAATTGACATAAACAAAAATTAGTCTAAACGTCACTCCTCCGACTAGTAGAAGGAACTTCATAAGCAAATAACAAAACATTAAATAAATGGGTAAATATCACATTTATATATTTATATATGCAAATACATATATATATATAAATATATATATATATATATATATATATATATATATATATGTATGTATAATATATAAATGAAACGTTGTATAATAAATGAAACCTCAATGAAAAACCTATGTAAACAACTCATGCATATTAAATCAATATGTACATGCGTACATACGTGCGAAAGAAGATTTTCCAACTAAAACTAA